CATTTTCATTTCCTTACCACATATTATGGTTGTACATTTTTAGTGTCTAAATTGTCGTTATTAAAATATAATTGTTTTTTTTTATAAAGATATGAAAAATGATGACCTTCTAAATCGAACATCATGGCAACAAGTCAAACCGTAAGTGTCAATGAAGCATTATGAAATGAATAAAGTTGTAGAAACTGGTATTCAAGTATCTTAAATAAACCGTAGAGAAGAATATGAAATTGATTTAGGGGAAAAATTTGAAAGGACTAAAACAGAAAGTAGGTCAAATTTTCTTTGTATTAAGAAAAAAATTTTTGCTTCAGATATTCTAATTTATCTCACTAAAAAATAATAGCAAACCGTATCATAAAACGAGCATTCACACCAGGTTATCAATTAGGTAAAAGATATATCGAATCTTGGAGTGATGGTACTCAAACCGCATTTTTCAAAAGATTTTATGAAAGTGTACAACGTATGGATGCTGTGCATATGGTGCAAGATAATGTTAAGAAAGTTATCGAAGTTTGGGTTAAAGGAAGTAATGGTGGTAGTGGAAAGGGTAGTGGATTTACGGGAAGTTCTGATCCTTCTAATAATAGTGGCCACCAAAATAATGACAAATCTGAGTCAGAGAATGATGGTGGGTCTAACAATGAGAATGATAATTGAATGTTAAAACGTTGAATTATATCGTATTTGCTATTTAATATAATCTGACACATAGTTGAAATATTTAAGTATTTGAATATTTGTAAATATAACATAATGATATTAAAAGTGTAGAAATTCATTTTTACTATATAATATGTTATTTAAATATTTTAAGAAAAACTCAATTATATTTGTAATTACTATAATTGAAATGACATGAAAAACTCAATTATATTTGTAATTACTATAATTGAAATGACATGAAAAACTCTGTGCCAATCACGGTCGGCAAAATTAAGGATAAAATGTTTTTAACTTAAAATTTTGCATATGAAACGGCTTTTCGTGCTCTAATAAAAAAAATTCCTCTGGTATTTTTTGGTATAAGTTTTTAAATCCTCATCTAACCCTAAGATAAGCCCAACTTAATGCTAATCTCAAAATCAATAGGTCGATGATTAACAAAACCTAGTACGTACATTATGTTACAATAGTGTTACAATATTATTTAATGTCGGGAAAGTAAACCATGCTGAAATAAAAAAAATAGGGTAATAAAAAGTACTAAATTTAAAGAATTAACTCCCTTTTTCTAACCCTAATAAAGTTTTAAATTCTAACTTAAAAAAAACTTACGATGTACTGTATTTTATGAAATTATCTATTACTAGCTATAGTTATCCGTATCTGAGATCTGCCTGTAGATCTATTTTAAACCCTCTGATTCGGGTTAACTGCTATTTCAACTAATTTTACTATAAACATTCTAGTATATTTGTTAGTCAAAAAAAGTCTTTAGATTTGACTGAAATATAGTATAGCACCTAATTTTGACCAGCATTGTCACAGGGGGGCCCGTGCGCGATATATTATATATAACACCTATTAAAAATAGTGTACATACCCTAAATTCTAAAAATAGCGACCTTTTTATAGTCACATGACTATACTTGCTGGCAAAACTATTGGGATTTGGGATTTGGAATTGGGAAACAGCAGGGACAGTGCCCACTATGTAGAATGTAGTTTAACGTTACATAACTTATAAAAAATTTTTTTTATATTA